ACTGGAAGAGTCACCAATAAAATTTGCTCCGGGCGCTGCAAGTTACAAGGCTGGACCAATGAAGTTGGAAACCAATCTCGTTGAAGGTGTTCCTCATGTCAAAAGGCCACCACATAGGAAACGTGGTAAACGACCTACTTCTTTCAAAACCCTGTCTGAGAATGCTGAAACACCTAAGGTGGAGGTTATTGTGCCAAAAGCAGCTCACGACTTTGATGTGGAAAGGTGTGATGATTCCAGTTGTAACCCTTCTACCTCTGGGGGTTCGAAGATTGGCACCTTTCTTACAACCGTAACTATGACAAATGAGTTGTGACCAAGTAAAGAAGACTGTTATCTTCAAATGGAAGACAAAGAGCCAGAGTTGGTGCAACGTGACAAACCCGTGATGGATCAAGCCCAAGTAAAGGGTCTAAATGAGACCGGGCTTGTTCAGAACCTACAGTTTGAAGAAGACTCGCTAATCCTATGTAAGCCTAATACAGTTCTTCAAGTCACATGCTCTGGTAGAACAATTTCTCTGCTGCAAGAGGAAACCCTAACTACCACACTTGTACCCGAACCAAGCATCGAAGATCATTCTAATCAGCCGCTTAACCAAACTACAAAGGATGTGAGTGAAACTGAACAAGAAGGTAGCATTCACACGTCTGGTACTTGTTCCCATGATGAAGGAGGCTCCTTCTATGACACATCAGTTGCCATGATGTCAGTCACTCCACCTAAACCTCAGCAAGTATTAAAAGAAGACTTGCCTTCAGTTAAGAGTACTTCTACGTCAATTAAAGAATTACCTCAAACTGAGCTCACAAGTGAAGACAACAATTTACGTAACCAGGTATCTCTAGCCGTTACAGAATTATATCAGTTTGAGAGAGTCGTCCCTGATTCGGCTGGCCCCATGCTCCGAGATATTGGGGGAGCCGTTCCTTGATGCATTTCTGCGGCCTGAGGAGGAGGGTTCGCAGAGTGCTCCTGATCCTGTACTCGTTAATCTAGGGGATTCTCCTCGATTGATTCCAGTGGTGCCTACCCAAGATAATGCAGAGACTGTTCTCCCTTCTACAGAAGTTGCATCGCAGTCTTTATTCAGAGGATCTTACAAGCCAAAAACCAAGTCAGACTCAGGACTTCTGAGTGGTGCACCAGTTACCAGCAATAGCTCCAGGTCTAGTGGGTTGGCACGTTTATCAGTCACCAGTAATGAGTGTTTCTTAACGTGTGTGCCTTTAATTTCTGTTTCTGTGTCTACCCTTCTCATGTTAAATTTTACTCTACAGTCCTTACTTTTGTATGTTTCTATTCTGCCTCGTTGGTTTCTCCCGTGGGATTCTCCACCTCTCATTCCTCCCGAACCTCCTCCTTGTTTTCCTCTACTGGTTGGGTGACCCTGACTTTCTTCTGTCACCCGTGGGGAGTTGCTCCTTGAGGGGGGGTACTGTCACGACACTCCTTAGTTGATTTGCCCTCGTGCAGTACTCACTCACCACTGTTTCTGTTTGGCCCTGTTCCTGATTTCTTTTCATTAAGCACTTCACCTGGTCCTTGTTTAGCACCTATTTAGTTTGGTTCCCCCCTCACTCCTTGCCAGATTTCCTGTTTCCTGTTTCCCTGGTCTCTTGTGCTCCTGGCTCCTGCTTACTGTGACTTGGTCCTGTGTCCTCCTGATCCTGCGTTACTGTGTTCTCCTGGTCCTTCGTTGCTGTGTCCTCCGATCCAGTGCTCTGGCTCCGTGGTCTCTGATTTACTACCAGCGATCCTGTCCCTGCAGCCTTGCTGATTTATTCATTGTTGTTGTCACTACATTAGTCTTGTGACTTTGGATCTGTGCCCTACCTGATACCCGTGGTAGCTGCACAATCCTACCCTAATACCTAAGGACTATTACAGTATTTGTTGCCTGCACGATTCGTGCTTATTTTGATTTACAGTGTATATATTTTGTGGCCTTGTCTGTGTATGTATATATTTTGTTTTACTATCTGCTTTGGTTCCCTGTAAATATATATTTCTTGATTTAACCTATTTCATTTATGTCTTGGCACTTATTTCTTTGCTATAGTGGTTCCCACATTTAAAGGGACAGGGCTGCTCCAGGGCAGCACACAGCTCTTACAGCCCGAATAGACCACAACTGTCTGTGGAGGAAGCCTAATAGAGCGGAGTGGCCGACAGCCAGAACCCCAACCCCGTACCTCCTAGTCGTGCCGAACGCGGCATGCTACTATGAAGGTGCTGGGCGAACCCGATATGTGGCATTACCCACCTGGAATGTGACCCTGGTGAGTTTGAGGGGAGGGGGGATGTTTCTAGCGTGCTTGGGAATATGTTCTGGCCTTGGTGCCGGGGACCCGGTAAATTGTCGAGATCCCTAGTATTAATACAGACGGTGTACTACTGTTGCGCAGGACAACCGTTGCGATCTGGAGCAGTTAGGAGGTTTGGAGACGGCACAAGTTAGACCAGGTCTGGCAAAACAGGAGGACTTCACTGCTGTGATCCTATTCTCATGCTGGTTACCCGGAAATGCTGATGCGAGCAGCAGTACATCTGGACCAATCACAGTAATACAGGAAAGGGGGGGGGAGGTCCTTTTTAAAGGCACATAGCCCCTCCCACAACTTCAGGCAAAGCCTTCTTAGTGGTGACGAACTGAACCTCGTCACAGGTTCTTGGAGAGGCCTGCTGGCCAGCCTCTTGCCTCAATCTATGGCCCCTGCAATAGACTTTGGCTAATGTACTTTAAAAAGACTCTGTTCGTGCAATTGGGATTATGTGGTTCGGGAACCAAACAGCCGCACGAACCAGAGACCACCCAGGAGCTTGTTAAACCCCATTAACACTTGGTAACGATTCTAACCGCAGAGTTCTAATTGTTTGTCTGTGTGGCTGCCATTAAGCAGATTCGTCTTACCCTTCATGAAGTCTAGGCTCATGTTTGGGGGATTGGAGAGCTATATTGACTCTGAGGATTGCTATAAACCTTGGATAACAACGATTGCTCTTGTAAGAACAGCCTGCTTTGTTCTCTGAACTAGGAGAGGTCTACCCAGTAGAAGCTGGATCCTGGTCTTGGGTCCAGGGTAGGTGAAGGACAGCGAGACCCCAACCAAGCTGTGGCAGTTTGTGGGGTTTACAGTGGTTATGGTGTCCAGTGCGGTGCTTATGGTACTCAAGGATTACAAGAAAGCAGCAATTGACAAAGGTACCTGGTCAGATGTATGTAGTTCTACTTCACCTCTCAGCTAGTGTTTGGGTGAGACTGCTATACAGCTATATCACTGTATCCTGATCCAGGGGGTGTAAAAGCTCCAGAAAGACCGCAGTCAAGAGTAGAAGCATTCCAGGTTTTCCCCTGTGGCTGCTAGGAAGAAAACCTGGGAGAGGTACCCAGCTAGGGTACAAGGAGCTCCATTACTGGATAATATTTAATATTGTAAACCCAAAATGAGTATCTGAAAAATGAACACAAACTACACATGGTGTAATATAGTAAAGACAGGCAGGAAACAGGGAGGGGGTAGAAAGACAAACCCTTTTGTGTTAATTTATCAGTTACTCTCTTTGGGTTACATATTACATAACTAAATAACATCCTGTCTTACATGTTGTATTGTTTTCTTTTTATATTTGTGTGTATTTTGTTCACCATTTTGCTTTTCACATATTTTGGGTGATTTTGAAATTATTTGAGATTCCTCTGCTTAACATTGTGTACTTTGATTTTTGTTTTTTGAGGGAACACTTAGGAGTTTATTCCATTTACCATATATTGTTTAATGTATAGAGGTTGTTTCATGTATTTTCAAACTTCCAAGTCTGTGTTACTAAATGTTCACATGATACACTACTAATAAACTTGAGTTTGTGAGTCTTTATTCATGTTGAGTCCTTCATATTTTGCTTTTAGGAAGTATAGTATCAAGACTTGCGTTGTTTATTTTACCTAGATCCTTAGGTGGGAAGCTTTAAATCATGTTAAGGCTTTGGTCTTTAGGTATCAGAGTGCTTTTAACGGAGAACTCTTTGCTCAGAGCATAACACAGACTGCAAAATCTACAGGAAATCATTTGAATTGACAGAAGACAAGTAGTAAATAAAACACATCTTAAAGACAAAGAAGTTAGCAAAACAAGCTAATCTAAAGGAGGATTGCTTTGAGTGTTAGGTAAGACAGTTGCATATTTGAGAAGTTAGAAACGTGGCTAGACAAAAGAACAGAAAAAAGAAGCTCAAAGATCTGGAAGGTCAAGACTATAGGTGACAAGTGAAAAGGATGAAAACAATAAACTAGCTGTCACTGTGACAGGCAACAAGGATTTAAAGAGCCTAGCTAGTTATCGGAAATGGTGAATTCGAGACTATGGTAAGAATGTTTGGCCAATGTGACCCACATTATCTCTGATCATGTCACAAAAGACCCGAGGCAAGAGTAGAAGAACAGTTTATAGTTGGAGAAAGAAACTAAAAATATTTCTGAGGTGGTGAAGTTATAATGTGATCTGTTGATAAGAGGAGAAAATTTGTGTTTTTAGTCTGGGTAATAATAAAAACTAAAGAAATTCTGAACCAAAGTAGATGCAAACCTGAATAAGTGTTTGTTTCCTGAAAGACATGATGCAAAGCACGTACAGAGCTAGACAATGCGGGATTAAGATTTCCATCATGGGCTGTTTTGGAGACCATACGGGGTCGGGGAGTAACGGGAATATATAAACAAATATGTCACCTCATTTAGCAACTGCATATGGGCCATGCTTGTTGTCTTTCAGTCACTGATGCTTGAGGGATATCTGTTGAAAAGTTACTGTTTAACTTAGTGAAGTTGACATCGGTTATGAGCTCAAAACCTTCCCAATTCATAATAACAAGGCAGATCCACGGCATTCTGGTCATAATAGAGAATGATGACATTATTCACTATTAAATCTTTCAATGCCATAAAGATAGTAATGTCTTGATGTGACTTACACATTGCAATTAATTATTTAGGGGAAAAATACCTTAACAGGTGGATGGACCTGGAGCTAAAATAAATAGATGAGCTTAATTATTAAAAGATAAAACCACATGGAGAGACAAAGTAATAGTCACAAAAAGCCAGGTGCAAACTATATAAGCACTCCCTCAAGTGCTTAAATATAAAGATCCATATATAATACAGAATGCACACTATAACAACAATAGTTATCAAGTACAAAACTTTAATAAGTAGGCAAATAATAAATAGCAAAAATTAACAAAGTAGCAAAATGAGGCAAATAGTAATCAAGAGTACTTTACTCAAATCTTTCAAGCCTCAAGGCAGAAACACAAGTCACCAATAAACACAATGTTTCAGCACCAACTGGTTGCCTTTATCAATTTATCAGGTACCCTTGATAAAGGCAACCAGTTGGTGCCGAAACGTTGGGGGAGTTGGTGACTTGTGTGTCTGCCTTGAGGCTTGAAAGATTTGAGTAAAGTACTCTTGATTACTATTTCCCTCATTTTGTTACTTTGTTTCTTTTTATTATGTATTGTTATTTGCATATCTATTAAAGTTTTGTACTTGATAACTGTGG